ATGCAAACAGAATATATAGCAATAAGTCAAAGTGCAATAGAGGCAATTTGGCTAAGACAAATTTTAGAAGACATTGAACTTGTACGATTGGAAGAAATTCTAATAAAGTGTGATAATCAAGGATGACTTGCTTTTACAAAATATCCAAAGCATTACTCAAGAACCAAGTACATTGACATTCAAGATCACTTCATAAGAGAGAAGATTGAAATGGAAGTGATTGACATGAAGTATTGTACTATGGAAGACATGCTTGCTAATTTGCTAATGAAATTTTTGTAAAGAATAGGCATCATAAGTTAAGAAAGGTACTAGGTTTAAAAGCCTTTGAACAATAGCAAAGTGGGAGTGTTAAAATAAGAATAAGATATAATTATCTTAAATAAATTAGTAATGGTCAAAAAATAATAAAAGAATGAAGGTATCTTTTTAATGTAGTAGGTAGGATTTGATATAGTGGCTAGATTAAAGAAGAATCTACAGTTAAATTAGATAGATGAAGATGATTACAAATGATGTTCATCTATAATAGATGTAAACTCTTCTTATAAGTAAAATATATTAAAAGAAAGAAGCATCTCATTCCACACTTCTCTTGTATGCAATTATTCTGATTTTTACTTACTTGTGTCTTATTTATTCTATTTCTTCAATAATTCTAATAAGTAACATCCAACAAAAGTCAAGGACTTCTCTTATTTTTAACATACACCATCTTCTCATGAATCTTTTTTCAAATTGTATTGATTATATAATAATCACTTTTTATAAATTAAATAATTTTAAAATTACTAAATAACTTCAAAGTGGTTGAAAAACTTAATTGGATGAATAAAAAATTATTAAATAAAATTAGATCAATATAGATAAAATTTTAATTTAATTGAATATGGTTTTTGAAGTAGACGATAAATTTTGAATAAAAATTGATTGAAATATATAAATTCTTTATAGATGAAAATTTATTTGTAGATAAATTTTTTTTATTAGATGAAATTTTAGTTTTGATTGATAATTAATACTATATAAAAAATAAAAAAATAAAAAATATTTTAAAAATCAATGTAAAATCATATATAAATCTTCCTTTCAAGTAGGTGGTCTTTTGAATTATTAAGATAGGCTATTATGATAGAATAGGTTGTTTGAATATAAATTTGATTAATTAGTGAAGTTGATCTTTTTAATAAGAAGTAGAATTTTTTTTAATTAATCATTTCATAAAATAAGTAGTAGTAAGAATTAAAACCATCCTTGATAATTTTCAAAATATTTTATTTGAAGATAGTTATAAAAGCCTAAACAATGATCAAATATCAGCATGGTCTTTTTGTCCTACTATGGAATATTATTGATCGCTAAGAGGACCTATCAACCATCTTAAAAAGAAACAAAGTTCAAAGTATGTAACAAATACAATTTGCTACATCTTACACTTCTTCAATATATGGTTTCTACTTCTTGTAGAACTCATCTTTTAGTAAAAAAGTAATGTCATATACATACATATTTATTTAGATAAGATGTGTTAGATAGAAAATAAGTATAGATAGATTTGATAATATCTTGTGACATAGCTTCTTAGAAACTTTGTAGACATGTATTTAGCTTAATATATATTTGTAGTTGATTGATAAGTTAAAAACTTGGCCAATAATTTAGCCATGTAATCTACATATTGGTAGCTTATGGTAAAAGCTAATCATATGGTGTACATATAAGAAACTTATCTTATAAGTTAGACATGTGTTTCAAAAATTAAACATGTATTCGAGGTCCTATAGAACATTACTATGTAGTTTTTAGTTACATAGTACACAGAGGCAAAAGTAAAGCCATTGATAGTGTCTTCAATAGAGTATAATGTCTTCAATTAAATGAAGCTATCAACATTAACTTGTTCTTGGTCTTGTTTCAAGACTCTCTAATCTTCTTAACTTTAGAAATAGCCATTCTAAATCAATATTATACTATCTTTGAATAATTATCTAATCTTTTTGAGTAATACAAGATTATATTGAACTTAGTTCTTTAAAATTTATATACTTGATAATTTCAAATAAGTGTTTAAAAAAAAAAAAAAAAAAAAAGAAGAAAAAGATAATATATTAAAATTAAAAATAAAATTTAGAATTTTTAAAGATAATATTCAAAATTTATAAAATTAGCAAGAAAATCACAAATAAAGATAATATTATATATAAAGATTCATCTTTAATTGAAAATATTTTAAAAGAAAAAAGATGTTCATTATATATAAATCTAATGCCAGAAGAATTATTCATAGAAAGAGATACTCTATGAGAAGAAAAGAAAAGAAAAGAAAAGAGAAGAAAAAAATCCTATTAAAAAAATAATGGAAGTTATGAAATTATTAGCGATGATTTTTGATTGGTGGCTAAATTAATAGAAATATAGGATTTGATTAAATAAAGTAAAGCACAATGAAGATGATTATAAATGAAGTCATTCATATCAAATATAATTTATTTCTTATAAATAAAGGATATTTAAAATAAAAGTTATCTTATTTGATATTTCTATGTATATATAATCTTTTTGATTCTATATGTTAAAACTTTCTACTTTTCTTTTTTTAATAATTTATAGACTCTCTCATATTATTTTGTAATTTTTAGAAGTTTTTTAAAGTCTTTGTTGTTATAAAGAGTAAATTATATTTTTTTTGTTAATATTAAGAGTTGAAATTTTATAATTTTTATATTTAAATTTAGATCTAAATGTAAATTATTGCTTACTTATAATGAAGTGCATTTTGAGTATAGTGTTTATTTTACATCTAAAGAAGTTTAGTAAAATCACTTGATTTTTTTTAATATCAGTAACTTTGGATATCTATCCTTTATTAAAGTCTTTGTAAGCACATCAATAAGCATTTCTTTATTAATAAAATATTTCATATCTATTAAATTATTTTTAATATTTTTTATCAAATAATATTAAATATCAATGTATTTGGTCTTTGAATGGTACTTTGTATTCTTAACAAATGCCAGATATCTTTAACTGACACAAATAATTGAAATTACCTCAATTGTACAAGTTCAATATCTTTAAAGAATTGTCTTATCCAAATTGCTTTCATTGCTTAATAACTTGTCGCCATGTACTCAACCTCCATGGTTGATTTTATGATGATTAGTTCTCTCTTGTAATTCCATGAAATGGCTCTCATTTTAAAAAAGAACACATGGTATATAGTGGATTTTTTGTCATGTACATCTCTAGACCAATCCATATCACAATAACCTTGTAAATTAATATTCTTATCATCAAGACACAATTTTAAGTCCTTTGTATCTTTTAAATATCTTATTTTTAATTCTTTTAATATTTTTAACTTTTTTTAAGTAGATGTCATTCTTTTTATTCTTTGATATTTAAAAATATTTACAATATAAAGCAGTTAGGATGACTACAGTAAGAATTAAAGGAATAAGATGCATCCATCAAAAAAATATTGTTTCATAGGTAACTACACTTGTTTTTTTTTTTAATAATAATATAATAATTGAAATAAATGCTTATGTTACTTAAGTACATAGAAATAAATAAGAGTAAGTTGAAATATATAGAAATAAGTTTATCTAACTTGTTTATTAGATAGATGAAAAAAAAAAAATAAGTTAGATAAACAAGTTAGAAGTATCCAATAGCTATTCATGGTAATTTTAGATTTTTTTTTTTTTTTAATATTTCTTTTTGATAGATACCAAAAATATGTGAAATTATTTTTAATTTTTAATTTTTTTTTAAATAATTTAAAGTGCTAATTTTTTAATAACTTAAAGTGCTAATTTTTTAATAATTTCAATTTTAAAAATTTATAAAAATCAAAATAATAAAAAAAAAACTTAAATTTTGATTTTATTCAATAATTTTAGAGTTTAGTAAAAAAAAATTTAATAAACACTTTAAAACTTATGCACAACCTATTCTTGTATGAGTTATGAAAACCAATCTTTTAAAATTATATTAACAATTTAAAAAAATATTATGAATCAATGATAATACTTCCAAGTTAAGGTGGATCACAGGTTGTCAATCAATTACACATTGTCCAACTATATGAAATAAATCGATTATACTTATGTGTTACTATTTTTTTGGAGAATTTATTAAATTAGATCATTAATTTTATACATAGTTGTATAATAATTAATTATTTATAGCACAACTACTAAATTTAATAAAATACATCGTTCCTTGTGATCTTATATACTCCTTTGAAACATACTATTTGAATGTGACAACTCTACCACTTTCTTCACAACTTTCTACAAGACATTTCTTTCTTATGAAGCTTGACACTGCTAGCAGCTTCACAAGCCATGAAACTTTGATTACCCATATATAAGGCAAGTTTGGCTACAAGCTGTACAATTGTGATTTTACATTCTAACACCTCTTACAATTATGTTAAGCTGGACTATAACCATAGATGTAGATGGAAGACATGTGGTAGTGGCAATAGCAAAAATTATGATAACATCAGCAATACCCTATTTTGATGGTCCATTTTAATTATCTAAAACAAATTTATTAATTTTTGGATGATAAACTCTTTACACTATCATCATGAATACTACAGAAGAATGAAAATTAAACAAAATCTAGTAGTTGAAACGAATCTTGAAGCTAATGATTTGCTAACTAGAAAATCTTAACCGGAAAACACAAGAAATTTGGGGACGCTGAACCTAAGACGCTGAACCTAATTACATTTTTGACCATTTTGAAAAATGAGAGTTTTGTGCTATTTACTGTATTGCAAAAGACTCTTCAAGAAGACATGTACACGAAGATAGTTGACATTTAAAATCTACATAGAATCGAAGTTAATGGGTCGGAATGTAATGAAAGAAAATACTAAGATTCCACTCCTTCCCATTAGTACAAAGCACAACGATGACTATTACATATACAAGAGCACTTGAAAATAGGGCGTTGCTCAAGCACAATTCATAAATTCAAAACAATAATCAGCAATGTTGGTCTCAATTTCCAGTACTTTGTAAATGTTTTCCTTAAACAAAACTACCAATGCTTGTTGGCAATTCAAATGAAGTACACAAAACATTTAAATCTGCACCTGCAATTCGAGACAATAAGCAATTTCCTACACAAGTCTAAAGTCCAGACCATCAACCAAGCTATTCCGAACCCAGTTTACAACCCATGTCTTTTATGTACAAGTAATACAGACCAGAAGCGGGTGTTCCTGTTCTTCAAAAAGTCTCACAAATCCCTCCTGATCAAACACTATTGAAAAACGTCACCAAATTAGGGCTATGGCAGTACTATTGTGCCAGAGTGTAAGATAATGATAGACGTTTTGGATGCCCGCCATCCACGATCACACAACTACTTCTACGCATTTCGTGCAAAGATTTTCCTGCACAATCATCAATCTATTTCAGATATATAAAAGAATATTCGAACCAACAACAATAACAAAAGGTCCCAACCATAACTAGATGATATCAAATCATTAAAAGTAAAAACTAGTCAGAACTATGACTTACATACATCAGCAGCTTACAACACTCCTAGTTTACTTCTTTGCAGCACTCTTGTCAGTCCACTTCCCATATTTCTCCCTCATCTGCTCGGCCAACTGAACGGACTTAGATTCTTCTCTTCTGGCAGCTCGTTTCTCGACCTCTTTGGCCTCCTTGGCGTTCATTGATCGGGTCATCTCAATGTCTTCGTAGTAATCGTTCAAATCACAGCAATTCACGCATATTCCTAATGTTAAGACAGCAACCTACATACAGCCCACAAAGTCTTGATTAATTCCAATGCCGTAGAGAAGCTTAAGTTAAAGTCAATAAAGAAATCTGAATTGATCACAGAAACTCATTAGTTCCTCTACATTCATTAGATACAATCCCAACTTGTACAAAAAAATAAATAATTAAGTTAAGGCAAAATGAGTTGAAGCAGCGGCCTGATTTGCCTACAGTGAAACCTCTACCAATTCAAAATCCATTTGCTTCCTATGAGTTTAGGATCAGGCGTACAAATATGTTCATCAAACTACTACTAATAACAGTCACAAACCGACATGAAAATTACCTGAACACAGCCAGTGCAGAACGCAACGGCACCCAACACCCTGAGAAGAGTCTTGGTAGTACTAGGATTGTAGAATGGCTTGTCCAATGCATTGCGGACTTGTGTAACTCTGAAAAAGATTGCAAATGCTGTCGCTAACAGTCCAATCACGGAAAAGGCCAGGAGTACAAGCTGAAGTGTGAAACAACCCCGTCGAGTACTTGAACAAAGACCTATTAATCCCGAGGCAACGGTGAAAGCACCCGCAATGACAATAAGCCATCCCGCCCGGCTGGGCTGATGCTCGATAAGAAAGAGAATGACAACTGAGGCAACGCCACCAGCCAAAACAATTAGATTAAGAATCAAGAGAAGTGTTGTAGAGCAGACTGCAATGTGCCCTTTAATCCCTCGCCCCGCCATCTCTGCGTATCTCCAAGTCAACTACCTGAAACCACAAATGAAATATTCGTTATAAACTGGATCTCATGTTACAAACGCAGATCATATTATGCCCAAACATTTGCCTTAGTATCTGTGCATATTGTGCACTAGTCGTTTTACAGCATCCCGTAACTAAACACTGCACAAGGAATACCAAGACATATTGTTCTTTGAGAAACGAAAAAGAACAAATCGTTAAAAGTTGGTAGCTAACTTGGCAAGCTACTGCTAGTCTCAACTGGCATCAGATCTTTCTAATCCTGAGTGATAGCATCACTTATACGGTCCGCCCTAACTATGGAGGAGAGAACCCAGCACTATTTACTGTAAAGATGCAACCGCTGAAAGATATTCGCAAGCTTGAAAGAGCACACAGAGGGAAACTACACCATTTTTACTACCAATAATCTTCTGCTGCACGTACAAAGAGAGAAATAGGCCTATACATCCTATTGTGCACACGATTAGTACCACCAAAGAATTTCCACACTGCATAGAAACTTGCAACAATTTACCACAGCCTTCCTGTACTCTATGTTCCAATTGAATCTAAAAGAGCAGTTCCCGAGGAAAGTATTTCCAAAAACTGCAGAAAATTACAATACCAGAACTCATCTCACTGCTCCCATTACTGTTAACCACTAAGATATCTCGGTAAAATACACGCAAAACACTTAGAAAAATGTTTTAAACATCACTTGTCCGTCTAAATGCCCTCGTAAATCGCTCATTATAATAAAATCGGTCAAACTTCATCCCGGCACTGTACTAACACACACAAGCAGTATAAATCATGCTGTTGCTGAAACGCCACTCCAAAAATCCAGATCTCAAACAAGCGTAAAGAAGCATGCCTTGCATAACCTGAAGAATTTCAACCCTTACAATCAAGAAAATAACCTAGACCCACCTTCACAACGCCGTAGATCAAAATTTTGCGCAAAAAAATCCAGAAGCTAGCCCAAAGATTCCAGCCCCAGAAACTCCCTCGCTCCCACCTCTGATCCTTCCTGAAAAGCTTTATCTACAGTCTTACAATATAAGTTTCGCCGAGCATTACGAACGCAAGTCGCAAAGAAAGGCGATGCAACAATCTCCTACTGAAACTTTAGCCTTGTCAAACCCTCGCAACAAAACCACCTCCCAAATGCCCTCACGACTCAAAAAACAACCCTGCTACTGTTCGAAGAATGACAAATAAACGACTGCACAAGAACTTCATACTCTTCCCTCAAAATCAAAGAGGTAGGAACCGACCAACAGAGCGGAACAGTGCAGTACCTGGAAGCAAGCGGAGTCGGTGGCAGCGACAAATCGATGATCAACGACGTTGAGGGAGGCGCGTTCAGAGAGCCGCGTTGGAGAAGCCACACAAAGCAAGCGAGATGACGCAAAGCTTCAGAGGCGTCCCCGCGGCGAAGGAAAATGTTCCCAAACCCGTGATGCGCCCTATTACCGTCTTCGGGCCACATGGTGCCCACGTGTCGAGATATATTTAGTAATAAAAGTCCTCGCGCTTGTGTCACAAGAGTAGGTGGAAATTGTCGGCATTCTCGGCATCAATTGCTGGGAAACTTCGGCAATATTCATGTGACTCCGGTATTCGATGTGGCTCCTCCTCCTCGTCCACCTCATTCAATTTAGCATTACTTCCACGCCCACACATGTGGCCACTGAATGAATGAACGAATGAATGCATGGACTTCTCTCTCTCACTCAGTCATTTCTATAATCTATAATAATACTCTTGTACTGTATTGTATTGTATCACTATCCTTCGATGTTGTAATTACTTTGTAGCTTTTCTTTAGTCCATTCCTTAATCGTTTCTTTTTCAAAAAAAATATATATATCCATTAATCCCATTCATGTAGTAATTAAATACTCTTGAATACTATAATTATTGATAAAAAAAAATAAAAAAGTGAAATATAAAGAAGAAAATAATAAAGTATTTAATTACATTAATAAAATTGCATGCAAGCATACACACACTTATGTGAGTATGTATAGATTATAGATATCAATTACATATAAAAACAAAATTTTCTTATTAAATAGGTCCTCAATAAGCCTTATGCATAATATTGTATTGAAATAGTTGATTTTGGAGGGTCCTTATAACCAACATACATATTTATTTAGATAAAAAGTATTAGATAGAAGATAAGTGTAAGTAAATCTGATATTATCTTGTGGAAAAGCTTCTTAGAAGCTTCATAGATGCGTATTTGATTTTATACATGTTTATAGTTGATTGGTAAGTTAAAAACTTGGCCAATAAGTTGATCATGTGTTGCACAAGTGGACAGCTTCTTTTACAAGCTAACAATATAGTATGCTATTATATTATAATTTTTTATAGTATATAAAAATTAATTAAAATATATGATATTTTTATAAATCTTGATGTATATTAAAATGGTTAGTAAATTAATTGAAAAAGAAATGATATAAGAAAATTTATTTTGAAGATTATATATTTTGATTATAGTATTTAAATTATATAGAATTTAGATATTTAATATAATTTTTTGTAAAAAGATAGTAATTCAAAGATGAAGATTTAAACTACTAAGAAGCTTATTCAGAGCAATGAAAGCAGGGTATTGATGGTGTCGTGATGTAGTACGACTATATGATGAAAATATAATAAAAAATAAAATTTTAATTAATATCTAATTATCTTGGTTCAATAATAATTCAAGATATTTAAACATGGCTTTTATAAAAGCATCTTAGTTTATTTTCTTGTCTTAATAGTTAGTAGGTTAAAAGCTGGTTAGTAATTTTACCTTCTAAGCTGTAGAAACTTTTTTTGTAGTAAGATATAGATTAGATAATTGTATAGATAGATAGAACCATAGAAGTTTTTAGAACTGGGGTTAGGTTAGTGGACCATGTAGGATCTATTGTGGAGCATTCTAAAAAGAATTTAGGAGAATTATCTAGGTAGGACCTACGATAGAACCTTCTAAAAAAAGAATTTAAGGTAGTTATCTAAGTAAAATACACCATCTACGAATATTTTAGAAAGCCTAGGATCATAGAATAAGGTATAAATAGGACTCGCTAAGGCCTTTTAGAGTAGCTAATCAAGTATGGCTTTAGTCCCTTTCTCTTAATAAATTTTGGTTTTGCATCCATTTGTTCAGTTTTGTTCTGTTTTATTTTTGTCTACTCAGTTGTTTTTTTTGTCCTATTCTGTGATGAGGTTTATCTTGCTAAAGAATAGAAGAATCTTGAATTTTTGAAATAGTTTGATTCTATTTCATTGGTATTAGAACAAATATTAGACTGTTTACTTTTGATAGTGTGTCAATAGTCATCATATAATCCAAGGTCAATTGTTGTGGTTATACTCAGTATTGTGTTGAGGCTACTACGAGCTACTCTTAAAAAGTCAATTAGAAAATGCAAAGATATTACAATAGTAGAGTCCAATGAAGAAATTATAATATCAGAGATATGACAAAGTAATCTCAGATGGAGGCTCAAGTACAATACACCTTAAGGTAGATAACTACTTTATAAAAGTGAATAGAAGCCTCAAGGACAAGAGAATTAATATCTGCTAGATTGAAATTGAATAAGCCTAGTACATACTCTGGAACTTCAAGACAAGAAGATGTTTGTCAATGGCTCTTCAAAATGCGACAATACTTCTAACTATTTGACACAAATACTACCGAAGGATTTATATATGCAGCCAATTATTTGAAGAATGTGACAGCTATTTGGTGGCAACATCAAATTCAAAGTTATGGAACTCAAGGTGGATTTTGTGACTAGGAGAAATTTGAAACAAAGTTTAAGAATCAATTTTAGCCCATCAATGCAAAAAAGATAGCATGTGATTAGTTGATAAATCTTACACAAGCTATGTTGGTGCAAGATTATGACTCCCAATTTAAGTCCCTATATCTCCAAATTGATAATGTTTCAAAGGCGGAGATGATGGATCAATTCCTACGAGGTTTAAAATCTAGAGTCTAGTAAGAGGTGGAGTTAAAGAATCCATAAGCAGTGAAAGAAGCAATTTGGATTACAAAGAGGGTCAATGCTATAGATTTCAAAAATTGTGGAGTACGACCTATAGTACAAAGTCCTATGCTACTATCTAATATTACAGCATAACAACCAATGCCAATGAAAATTGATGCTTTATAAGGATCATTGATATTACAAAGACAACAAATATTGGTACAAAAAAGATTGTGTTTTTATTGTCAGGAACTAAGCCATCAAATCTCAGGTTGTCTAAAACATCAAAATTCAAGTACTAGTAAGACAAGACAAGTTCACAATCTTGAAACTCATCAAGTCGATAATGAATCAGAGCAAAAAAGTGGGGCTCCTTAGTAAAGGCATTGGAGGCCAATACTAGGAGTAACTATTATTTTTCAAAGACAAATCGCATAGCCTTGGATAATTATAAAAAGATTTGATTAGTACATGTAATGGGACTATTAAGAAGACAACCATGTGAAGTGCTTATAGATTATGGCTCTAAAGAAAATTACATCTCAACTGAAATCATCCATTGGCTTAGAATTAAAATCAAGGAAATGAAGGAAGAAAGTATATACCTTACAGATGATTGAGAGAATGTATTGAGTGAGACATGTGAAGAAGAAACTATGAGATTCATAGACACCTAAGTCTTAAGAGCGAAATTCAAGGTCACAAAGCTAAAATATGATATTATCTTTAATATGCCATGGCTAGAGATGAGAAATAAGAAAGTTGATTAGATAGCAAGAACAATCTCTTATCAAGATAGAGGACTCAAGATGATTCTATACACTTTCTTATCAAATGAAGAAGAAAGAGAGCTTGCAACCAAAGACTTACTTATAGGGATGACTTTTATGAAGAAAAAACTACAATATATATATATATATATATATATATATATATATGGTAGTTCAAAATCTCGCATCAACGGTAGAAAAGATAATCAAAAGGATAGAACAATGTCGTGATGTGGTTTGGCTATTATATGAAAATAATGTAATTATATATTTAATATATAATTTACTAAGTAACATGGTGAAAGCCATGTTAGTAGATTTTAGTTGGTTGTAGAATATAGTTTGATTATTACTTTGAGAAGAGGTTGTTTAAAAAGATTACTATAGAATTTATATAGCTTTAATTTCCTTTTGATAGTGGCTTTTAAGATTGGTTTTGGTTAATAGTAACTTCTAAATATTTAGAATCACCTTTGTTAGACATTGGTGACCTTTGAAAACTTCTTTTGGTTCTTTTATTTGGTGTTTAGAACATAAATTATATAAATCTTATAAAAAAAAGGATTGAAGAAGGATTTTGGTAGCAAAGGGAGTAATTAGGGCACCAATATAGATGAATGGATATGAATAATGAAAATCTCCATTCCTATTGGTCAAAAATCATGACCAATGGGCTTTGAGTAGGCTGCCTGAGGCCATATTAGGGATTAGGATTAGTTTCTCATGGCCATTCGAGCTTTGAAGGCTAAGGTCAGAAGGTTTAGGTTTTTGGCTATGGTTTTGGTGCAAGTTTTGTATGGTTTGGAGTTTATATGAAGGAGATACAAGCTCTTAGAGTTAAGGTATTGATTTGGGAGCTACTATCACTCTTTTTGGCATAACGCATGCATACGGATAGCAATTGAGAATCGGCGATTGCGACTAGAGAGAGCACTTTTGTGGCTACACTTTTTATATATTGCTTACTTAATTCCAAGTTGAAGTGAAGGAGTTATTGGATTTTGAAGTATGCACATGCAATCTAACGGTAGTAAGTAATCCGATTTGCTAGTGGTTGTCTCTTGAGCTATATCTTGAGCAATTTAACAAAGTTTTGGCTCAAAATTTCAGGAATTGTGTAATTTCATGTTAGTAAACTTTGTACATAAGATTTATGACATTTGAGTATTAGGTTCTTGAGATATTAAGAAAATAGTGTTCGGGTGCTTGTAAATTAGGATTTAGAACATCTGCTTAGGATTTCTTAGATGCCAGAAGATCGGAAGTGAATTTGCCATTGGTTTTTTTTGTGATAAAATTTAAGGGTGAATTCTACCTATCTTATAAAATTGAGACAAATTGAACAATTAGATCAGGAGTTATGATTTTCTAAAATTTAGGACAAGAAAACCCTTCGGGGGAAAAATATGTTTTGAAGGGGTTTTGTTATATTTTGAGTTTTATGCAAAATAAAGGAGGTTTGGAAGCTAAGAAAAGATTCATGTAAAGGTTTAAGCTATACTCTCTACAACTAGATATCCAATATATTCTCAGATAGCA